GGCTCGCCACTAAACAGGAAGTGGCTCGTAACTAGGCCACACTTGCTCCGATCTGCCCCAAACTCGACATGCCGGATCACAGTCCTGCCCGGAGCAGGTTTGCCCCACACCCCACCGTGCGCAAAGGCCGACAAGCGTAGGGCGAGGACCCGTCCATCGCCGCTTGCGGCTTTAATTAATCTTGATCATGATGCATTGTAATACTCATTTCTAGAACTCTTTTTTTTCATCTGGTGCCTTTACATCACCATCACTTCTTGATGAGATTTGTTTCTCTAATGTTAATTGTGCCATACATGGTAATAATTATCAGATATATTACAATCAATATATTGGCTAGTTGACAACTGGGGAAACAAAGCCTACACAAACTGTCGACTTGCAGACCTACCTCTGAGAAACAGTGTGACAGATTGGTATCTGAGTGAGCTTTGCTGGCGGCCACTTAAAACATCCAGCGCTTTGACATGGATCAGTTCCACCAGCTGTTTATCTGTTTCCAATAAACACACATGAAGTATGCACACACAGAACATAACAATGCACAGATCTCACCACAATCTCTCACCTCCCAAAACTCTGAACTTCACATCCTCTTTCAGCTGGGAGCCACACATCATGCAGCAGAAGTGGTTTCTCACGGTAGCCGATTCTGTGGCCCCGGGTGCATGGACTCGGATGTGGTGGAACCCTCGTGCCAGCAACAGGGAAGTGTAATTAAATGTGAATCCAACTTTAAGCATATGAATACTACTTGTCTTAGGGCTGCTTTAAAATCATCAGACTGTGCTGTGCCACCACAAACAAAGAGAAACGGTACCTTTGGAGCAGGGGCAGTCATCACTGACACAGAGGAACCTCGCCCCCTGGGTGTACTTCGTAACCCTTGTCATGGCAATGACCAGGCCCTCCATGGAGACAGGCCTCATGGGGCCGTACACACGAGGAAAACGACAAAGGTCCAGCGTGTACTCAGGGAATGGAGGCAGGTGTGTAAAGTTCAGAATTACATTTACCTCAAATAAAAAAAACAAACAGGTGAGACAGTGTTACAAGACTGAGCTGATGATTCAGATCAGTCAGGTTGGATTGGTTTTCACAGCAGATATTATGACTTGTCAACACTTGGGAAAACACAGGTACAGTAATAGATGGCTGCATTCCACTTAGGGGAGGTCCTGCTTTGCTGGTTTACTGTCATGGTGTACTGGGACACTTAACGGAACTTAGCCATCATTAATTCCACTGTGCTTTCCCTATTGTGACAAATCAAACCTATTGTAAACAAGCCCTACCTATCCCAACCCAACTGTTACACATTTCCAAGTATTTGACTTTTAGTACTGTTTTTTTTCTTTATTCTAAAAACATTAAGTGATAGAAAACTTTACCATATCTAAAAGTCCTTTGTCCGTTGTACAGATTTTAACCCCTTTTCAAAATTGCAACAGGGGCCTTCAGCAGGTTTCATTTATTCAGAGAAAATGTCCCATCACTGAGTCCTGAGTAAACTCAGCACCTTGTGCCACCCTTGAAATCTAATATGATCCAATACAAATTGCTTAATTTTTAGATCTTTGTGGGTGAATACTGTGCAGAAATCCACGACAGCATGGATTATATACACAGTGCTATAGGTAGTCAAACTCAATTGTTTTTCGTTGTGGTGTCCTAATATATAATAATATAATATTTTTTAAGATACATATTTTTATATTATTGGATCATAGTTGTATTGATATTTGTGAGAACTAGGATCCGCTGTTTTAGTTTTGCAATGTTTCACAAAATCCTTAAAAACTAATATATATATAATTTATTTATTTTTACATCATTTACATACATTTTTGTGTTTCAGAGGATTAAGCTAAACAATGTTAACCAAATAGTTTCAAAGGTCCATACCTGACTTTCTGTATGTATTTTTTCAATAAGAGAAAGTGTCTTTATGGCCAGGAAGCAAACCTAAAAAAAAAGCAATTGGGTAAATGTAGTTGAGCTTACACAATTAAAAAAAAATTTAAATTAAATTTTTAAAAAATTAGCAACACCTCATTTTAGCTAGCTAGGTTAGCTCACAGCTCTTACTTACAGACTGAAATAAAACTGTTGCTCGCAGAGGCTCATGCAAAACACAGTCACCCAGTACAGGATCCACCTCGATTACATCTGAGGGATTAACACTGAAACGAAACCTGTAGACGGCCTCGCTCAGCTGGGGGTCTGGAAGTAAGTCGCAAACGTTAGCGAAGGTCTGTAGTTCAGTGATATTAGCTTGCAGGCTAACACGTAAATTAGCATCATTTCTGCACCATTGAAAGGTTTGCAGTCTTCTGTCAGTTTCTGAAGACCGCCACTTCTGTCCAAGTAGACCAAAACTGACTCTTTCAACGATAAAATGTCAGCCATTTTCCACTTAAAAGTAAAAACGTAAACCAGATTATGTAAACTTGACAAGCTACTGGGGCTGTTTGATGTAATCTTGCTAGCGCGCTAACTTCAACCACGTTACCATGGTGACCACTCAGCATTGGGAATCAGGAAGTAGTGCGATGAAGTGTAATCAAAATAATAACACATTTTACATAAAAAATAAACACAAACACTGAACACAGAAACAGTTTTTCTATTATTATTTTTATTATTGTGCAGGAGTACAGATCCGCCTACTTAATTACCAGGCGAAGAAAAGCATCGTGGATTTCTAATTTCTGAATATGGATACATGTGTTAAGGCGAAGAATAGCAAAACATAAACAAAAACAATCCAAAAAAAAAAATAAAAACAAAAATCAGTTCAATCAGTACTCAAAAAGGCACTGAAACAAGAAGCAGAAGACATTTTTTTCTTTTTACAAATGTGACCTATAAACCATAATGCTTTATTCAGTGGTCTCGCTCAAGTAATCCCTACTTCCAGCTTAGTTAATATGAATGATACACGAGTTTATTTTTTACAGTAATTACATGGACAAACACAGTTCCATCTGACAGTCAAATGGTGTCATTTTAAGTCCAGTGAAGTGTTCAAGTTTATCAGAAAACTGCTTACTGATTTTATTTAAGGGACAAATTTAAGGCTTTGTAAAGGCTCATTTTAGAAACCACCAGAAATCAACTTAATAGAGAACAGCCTCAATTTTAAAAAATATCATCTGTTATGTATATATATATATATATATTATATAAATACAAATAGGTAAAATATAAAGACTTTCTGGTAACCTTGTTCCAACCAAAATCTTATTTTTAAGTGCAGTTTCTTCTCAGATGCTTGCTTTGGCGTCATAGAACAAGTTAATCCATGGTATAAATTCTTCCCTTTAGTCACAAAAAGTTACAATGGTTAAGGCATTTCAGGACCTTATTGGGAATGTTTCATAGGAAGGAGTCATCAGAAGGCGGAGCGTAAGAAAAGCCCACAAAGGCGTCATCGGCCTCCATGACACTGGCATTGACTATGGAATGTTCTTGAGACCAGCAGATGGAGTTGGGAACCATCTCTTCAGTGAACTCAGGATCGAAGTTTGAGATGTCACCGTAAGAGCTCTGAAAACCAAGAGGGAAGGTAACATTTATGGAACAAATACAAAACATGGGCATTCATACACGTGACTTTGGTAATGATGGTCTTGATTTTATACTGCTTCAAAATGGCATAAAACAACTGGGAATCAAATATGTAAAAGCAACTCAGATTAGGAAACACCAAATTAGTTGTTAACCAATTACCAACCAACACAGGGTTAATCAGAGGCAAAAACACTACATGAAATTACATCTTTAAACATGCAATAGTAACAGAAAAACGCACTTAATTAGGAAACCTTTAGTTTATTACAAACGCTTGTGCAGTTTAGTACAATTAATTATAATAATTGTAATCACTTTTGAAGCTCGTATGTTCATAAAGTGTGGCAGAGTGGGTTGCATGGCTAACTGTATTAAATTACACTGTAATATGAAATAATAAGCAAAAATCCTAAAAGCCTCTGCATGTGCCACAGGTGGTTCTTGTTACTCAAACTGAATTTATCCCTGCTCTAACTAGATTGCACAGAATTAGCCTGATACACAAAAAGGACTTCTGTTAAAGTCACAAATAAAGTTTAAACATGATTAACAACAATAACCTTGTCTAATCCGGTCCTACGAGGCAGTGTGAATCATGTCTTTAAAATAAAGTGCAGTCATGTGAAGTGAAGTCACGTGTACAATTTTCAGGAAGTTCTAATTACTTGGCATGACACAAGATATTTACCACATTGGGTGTGAAAGGGGCAGGGATCTTCTTCTGTTCCAGGTCATCCCAGTTGATAGAAGAGAAAAAGCTATGCGCTCTTATTTCATTCTGAAAATGAAGAACAAATCAACCATAACATAATTTTGTACTAACAGATTTAGTAGAATTCCTAAATTTGTAAGGCATTACCAGTAATGACGTGACACATATAGATGAACCACCAGAGGGCGCTAAATAGTTGAAAATTCTGCTGTGCATGGACGGAGAAAGCGCATTAAATAATCACACTTACAAAGTCATCCCTGGACCCCAGTCTGTGTGTGCCGTCTTTTTCCAGCAGGCCCTGGAGGATGGACCAGGCTGTACTGGATGCACCCGGACGCTTTGCAAGCGGCTTGTGGAGGATGTTGTCATACATTTCGTGTGTGTCCCTGCTGTAGAATGGCGGCTAAAACATTTAGAAACAGAAGACAAGTAGAATCATGTAAGTAAGCATGTAGGTGTGGCAGTCCCAGTTAGATGAGTCAACATTTAGTGCTAGCACAGATTTTCAAATTAGAGTGGAAAAAGTGGGCTCAGAGTAAAAACTCACCAGGCCAAAGAGCATTTCATACAGCACTGATCCCAGACACCACCAGTCAACTGTATTATCATATGGCTGCTTCCGCAGGACCTCTGGAGCTAAGTACTGGTCACAAGAATCATACAAACATAGCAATATGACATTAACATTGCCATGTTAGTTTAAAATATACCAAGCAAATGTTTATCAGGTGCTATTTTTGATCACAAAAGCCTTTTTTCGTGTCTGGAAAATATGACTCATCCCCAACACATGCAGCTATATAGCGAGCTGGAAGCCACTCATGCTTGTAAAATTATTAACCACACTTTTCCCACAAGGCTTTTAATGATTATTCATTTTCTAACACTGACCATAGGAGTCCTTTGCTGCCAAAATTAGCTCTGAGCAGGCATATAAATTCTCGTACCTCAGGTGTTCCACAAAATGTAGTGGTGGTATCTGTCTGGGAAATGCCTTCCTTGCACAATCCAAAGTCTGTCAGAACGATATGCCCCTTTAAAGAGAGGACACAGGGACATTTTTAGATAACATGTGCCACACAAGCAGCTCATTATCCCCACGGACTGAGGATTCTATTGTTGTCCAGGAATGTTGGCTGCAGCGTAGCTCTGTCAGCCCCATTCACCGTTCCCTCACTTTCTCAATAAGGCTAGGCAGGAAAATCATTAGTACGACCTAATCCAATCACCCGCATTATGTCCAGCTGGAACTGGAAACAGCACTGGTGGTATGAATATGACTGGGAAAAGATGAAACGTGTGCTGTAAATGGTGTGGGGTTTTAAGCAACAAATCTGCAGCCAGAGTTTAGAATATGGTGGTGCGTTACACAAAAATGAATACTACATTGTCAACACAACGTCTAACATGAGAAAACCGGGTGCAGTGCCACCTACGTATATTTAGGTTTTAATTAAGAAATAGGGACAAATATGAGCACTTACTTCATGGTCAAGAAGGATATTTTCTGGCTTCAAGTCCCTGGAATAAAATGAATTTAGATAGAGTTATAAATGAATTACTTAGATGTATTATAATGCATGCATGTATAAATTAAATAATAAATATAAATAATATGAATTTAGCTTTATTCCTCAAAGGGTTTAAGGGAATTTTTGCAATTTGAGCCACATTTCTTTGCTGTAGTATCACAAATAAATTTTTAAAAATGTCAAACATTTTATATAGTTTTACATTTTGAAGCCTTTTACCAAACAAGACATGTAAGAATATTTCATAAACGTAACACTAAGCACTTAAATGAACCACCAGCATACCTGTAAACAATGTTGAGAGAATGCAGATAGCCCAGTGCACTTGCCATTTCAGCAATGTAGAACTTTGCTCTGGGCTCTGGAAAGGTCCGTTCTTTTTGAAGATGAAAGAAAAGCTGAAATGAAAATGTTCAGTGAAATCTTGGTTAATATGTAGTCATAACGATGATTGTTTTAGATCCAGTATGCCTGAGTGCTTTGGAAAATGTAAATAATGATCTGACTTTATTTTTATCTCAGAGGTCCTTGTAGCCATCTTGTTCAGAAGGACAAGAAGCAGATTTACTGTGACACAGATTGTACTTAGTCACTCTCACACAGTCACACATGGCAGCTTTAAAAAGGCTGATCACACTCAAAGGAGATCCACAGAGGAAGTCACACTCCATTCTTTCCAAGCAATGTCTCTAAAAAGAACTTCACATGTGGAGGTGTGCAAACGAGTGAAAGTACAGCACTGACGTATTTCATTAAGCGTTATTTAGTATCCTGTATTGCTGCATTTCTCAGCTGTTCTTGATCTTGTGACTCACTTTTGTCACAAAACTGAAACAACTCACTTCTCCTCCATTGATGAAATCCAAGACGAAGTATAACTTGTCTGTGGTTTGGAAGGAATAATGGAGCCCGACCAGGAAAGGGTGTTTCACATTCTTCAGCAGCACATTGCGTTCTGCCATGATGTGTTTTTGCTGATTGAAAAAAATCATTTAGAAGGAGCATTATTATACACATACGCATGCTGAAAGATGGATATGATGAAGGTCACATCTGATTGCAAAGTTACCTCTTTTCTGTTGAGAATGACCTTTTTTTGTAAGACTTTGACTGCATAATACTTTTCATCATGCTTTCGTTTTGCAAGGAACACCTGCATCACATGGACGACAACACATGATTAACGTTGCATCAACTTAGAAAACCTGAGAAATTCCTGATCTGATTCTCACTTCCTACATGGAAAGACCGACACATGCAGAACTAAAACATGTTGCTTCCCCAACAGAAGACAACAAACACATTTCCAAATGTCAAATCATGCAAGTAAATTGTAACAAAAATGTATTACTGGCTGTATTTCTGCTATTTCACACTGCCTTCTATGTAATATAGTATTACACTGAAGACAATACTTTAGATAACACAGAATCACAAACTGGGTTTCCATCTATGTTACTGTCTCACTGTGGCATGAAGAGAAAAAGTATTTTTTAAGCATTACATAGTTCACATACCTTCCCAAAACTCCCTTTTCCTATGACTTTTAAAAAGTCAAAGTCTGTGGGCTTGGCACTGAAATAAAAATG